CTTTGACCCGGACTCACCATCAGAAATTTTGGCACCTCACTGATGCACTTAACACAGGAACATAGAAATGATGGGGTCTTCTGTAGTCAGTGGAGCAGTATAGGCACCTCTGGATGGGAAGGCAAATTTTAGGAGGACTGAACTACTCTCTGGAGGTGGATATCTGTTGACGTTGACTGTGGCGTGGACCGTGCTCCTAAGTTCAGGTTATGCAGGAGGTCCTGAGCATGTAACTGCTGCTACGTCTCCTGTAGAGGAGTTAGATGGAGCCATCCCCCTGCCAGTCACCTTTTACTGACTGCTCAGAGCGACATTAAAAAAAATCTTTCTGGGTTAACAGAAGTTGACTGCTAAACTAGTGAACGGGTGAAAGAGAAGTTACTTCCAACCTCAGTCTTGCAGGTGGAGCTGGATGCTCCCCATTTTAGGAATGTCTGACAGTTCCTCTCAGAAATCTTTTCCTCGGTTGATTGATACTTCAGCAAACATTAATTTGGGGGGTGAAATTTTCCATGCCAGTTTTCTGCCTCCTCAGACTGATATTTTTAAAGATCCAGCCAAAATTGTTCAGAGAAGGAAGCTGGAGAAAAACATGTTGTTTTCAATACCAAAATATTTCTCCCAGCCTGTCTACGAGGAGCCCTGGTACCTCCCTGCTGCAGAGCAGAGATCTGAAATTCGGTAAGGGGGCGTCTTTTGCGCATGTTCTGCTTTTTTTTTGATCTCCCTGTGGAAATTTCCCTAGCCTTTCTTAATTTACAGGCTTTTTTTTAAAAAAAATCCCACACATTTGGGAGAGATGTCACCGCATTTAACAGCTGAAGCCTTCAAAAGACGCTGCGGGGTAAGTGTCGTGCTGCTCTGACTGTGCGTGCCCTGTTGCGGCAGCTTGCTTTCCACCGCTACCTAAGCGACAGGGATGCTCCTTACCGTCCTGTCTGCTCTTTGCTCTTTGCAAATTTGGGAGCTGGGTTCTCCTGGGGTTTTAAAGCAACGGCACCCAGTGCGATGAGGAGGAACAGGCTGCCTGGCTAGAAGGCAAAAATGAAAGAAATCAAATTTTAAGGGGGGAAAGAAAGGAGCAAGTTGGGACCGAGAGAGGGGAACAAGAGTGCTAATGGCATTAGAAATTGCTTAGGGCTGCTCGGACACATCAGAGAGGGAGCTGGAACTAGGAGGAAGCCCCCGGTACCTGGGTCTGCAGCCTGCAGAGCTTGGAGAGGGGCTGGCAGAGGAGACAGGGTTGAAGAAAGGTTCAGAGGGAAATCAAAACCACCTGATGATGTGAGGGAGAGGCATAGCCCAAGCATAATTCCCATTGCTTAGCCCGAGTACTATTTGTAACGCCACAAGCCAGCACAGAGCCTATTTAAAAGCTACATATTGTAGCTGCGGGCTACAATATGTACAGCTACAGCCTTCCTCCTTTTCCCTCTATCTCATTTTTAAGGTCCCATCCACAGCACATGATCCTGCACCTCCTTATTTCCTGGTGAACACACAGCTTTAGATACAACAGCCGTGTTAAACTCGCCAGAACAAAGCGCTTGTTGCTAGATTTTAATCCAGCAAGTCCAGTGAACGTCCATTTTTTTGCAGCGTTAGGTATTAGAAAGGAACAAGACACACACGCTTTCAGAGAAGAAAAAGAAAGGAAATCAAGCCGCTTTCATGTATTCTTTGTAATTATTTTTCCCCTGTCGTACAGAATTCAAGTTCAAAAAAAAAAAAAAAAAGAAAGGAAAAAAAAAAAGAGGATTCTAACATTTACTGGCAGTAACCATTTCACCATCTGCTCCGGCGTGCTGCTTCCAGAACACACGTTCTCAGCTGCTGAGCAGTCAGCTCTCTGCTCCCCTTCCTTTCGGAGGCAGGGATGCCAGCAGTTCCTAAACTGTAACAGCATGAGCAAGGCCTTTTTTTTTTTTTTTTTCCTTTTTTTTTTCCTTTCAGTCGCTGGAATTTCTTTGAAAAGGCAGGGGAGTTAGGACTTTTCACCAGATTGTTCCCAAGACTGAGCTGTTCCCCGACTTGATGGTTCTTCATCTGAGTGCGTGCAAGTGGTAAAAATGTGGAGAATATTAATATTTAAATATTTCGGGGCGCCCCAAGCGGGTTTGCTTTGTAGTAGAGCTCCACTGGTGCCTGGGCTGCTCTCAACGATGGATTTAGCCTGTGTTTCTTTAGCTGTACGTAGGGGAAAGCTTTCCTGGTGGGGCACTCTTATGCCTGGGCACAGACACTTTTGGTTTCTGCTCTCATGAACCGTATAGCTGAGCTCAGCACCCCTCTTTCTAATGGCTTCTTCCCGTTCTCTTCTACATGGTATAGCTAAGCCAGCACCGAGCTGTTCGACATCCCAGTCTCCTCTCTGACAGCCCAAACCCAGCAGTGAATCACAGCATATAAAACAGAAGGAGGTGTACCTCGCCATCAGATGGGCTTTGTTGGCTAAAAGGAGCTAGGACAGCCAGAGTTACCCTCTCTGCATGCTCCTGCATCGCTGCCCTTGGGCTAGTGGTGAGCAGAAGCACTTAAGTAAATATATGACTAATTTAGAGGGCAGAGGGTAACATTAATTAGCTCATCCTGTCCTTGAATGTTTCCATGTCACTGACTCCCTAATCTATGGCTCTTGCGTTTTCTGTTGTTGTTTCTCATGGCAATTACAACCCGCGATCTCAGTTTGTACATTTAAATTCAAAATGAAAAAACATCCATCAGTGAAAGACCCTATTCAATTCTCCCACTGTATAGCCAACGCTGTACAAAGAAATGAGCCAGAGTGAATTCAGAGCCCATTAGGCATGTCCCAGGAGGCAGGAATCTATATGCTTACAGATGTGCTTACAGATAAGTCTGCATTAAGAAAAAAAATCCTGCTTGACCGAAGGTATTTGTTCTAAAACACACAATTTAAAGTGCAGCTTTGTACGGAGAAGTGACTCTGTGGAACGGCTTTGAGTGATTTTATGTGTGTTTCATTGCACCAAGATCAAATTTACTCCTTTACAAGTAGGAGAGAGATTATGTCCCTGTCAGCCTCACATTCTTGCTCTGGTTTCCATAGCCCAATCTGGCTGGGTGTTCGCTCATCCAGGAATCAGGTTTTTTTTGATCAGCGTTCGATCCAGCTGAACTGTAATGCAGACCGCAGAGGTTGGAGCCTCAAAACCACTTTGGGAAGATCCCTTGTTTCTCAGGACAGTGTCTGTGCATTAGCCTCTGTATTTTCACCTTTGTGCATGCTGTGACACTCGGACCAGTTCTTTGCTGCCATTTAAGAAAATATCAGTCTCTGAGATTGAACGAGTTGGACATGCTATTTTATAAAAAGGTTATTTGGTGAGCCAAATATTTATCATCCTCATAGCACAGGACGGTGACACAGGGCAAATCAGAAGATAGGCAAGCAGGAAAAAGGAGTTGGGAAGGCAAGAGATGGAGACTAAAGAAGAACATGAGGAAGCATGAGGAAAAGGGAAAGGGAAGATGTTTGGGCCTGAAGGAGCTTTTAAATATCAGTGCCGATTGCAAATTTTCCCTGTGCAAAGGAAACCCACCCATTGACCTCCTGTTGCTGTTACCTAGAGGTAGGAGCTCTTCACAGTGCTATTATGCCTCCCCCAATGATTATTAGATGTAGTGCTGTGTGGTGAAGGGGGGCGGGAGAACCCCCTGCAGGCTTGCTGATTTTTAAGACCAAAAGCCTCTCACACCCTGGGATGGGCAGATGCTGGCCACTTTCATAAGGTGAGTGGCTGTGTCCCACAGGCTGTGCAAGACAAGCTCGGCTGTGGGGCACAAATGTTATATTCACCAGCTGAAAAAAACTAGACAGAAACAGTCTACGCTTGGGAGATTGGGAGAGAACAAGCGGAATGACCTTATTCCTTCAATGGAAACACAGATACCGTGAGCATGGATTAAGGGCAGCAGATTTGAGACCATCCGTGGTGTCAGGCATGGTGGAAGAGGCCACGCTGACTTGTGATCTTGGATATTTCACTTGGAAGAGTATGGGAAATCCTTTAATGTGTCTCTCCTGCCCACTTCGAGTTGCCTAGATGGTGGGACCCCCATTGCTTCCCCTGGAGAAATGACAGCCTGGCAGGGTTGGCATCTGTTGGTGCCTATAGCCTTGATCACAGCGAGCGCTTGGACCGAACCCCTTCATTTCCTTCTCGTAAAACCCTCAAAGGACCCACACTGAGATGGATGTAAAGAGGCAGCAAAAGGGAAGCAGTTGTTCTCCGAAGGAAGGAGTAGAGGGGTGTTGCTAACGCTGTGATTCCTCAGAGCGACATGTCCTGATGCAGCCTGCCATGCCAAGAGAGGCACAGAGCCATGCGCGACATCTCCAAATGGTCTGTTAGCTTTCCCCGTGCTCTTGCTTCAAAAAAAGGAAAAGGCAGGGGAGAGGGCAGAGACCCCAGCGGAGGCTGGGCAGGTGTTTTGGGGGGTGGCGGGGGGAGCCCCATCGTTTCTCTCTACTTGCTGTAATAACCTAAATGGACAGTTTTGAGATTTCATAACGCTAGCCACTTCCTAATTAGGACAAGCTTAAAAAGGACCACTTGGCATCCTTGTTGGTGAGAGCCATGTGCTACCTGCAGCAGGCCAACTCCAAAATGAAACTGATTTTTCTCTTACCTACATTCTGCATTCAAGCAGCTGCTCCTAACAGGTGCTTGCTCTCTTCCTAGCAGATGGCAACAGAAAAATGGGTTTGTTGGCAGGTTTTGCCACAAAGCAGCCTTCTTATCACACATATTGATGTGTATACAAACATACACGCGCGCTATCAGGCTTTCAGTTTAAAAAGTAATTCTCCTTCTGATAGAAGGTCAGCCATGTGGGGTCTGAGCGAGAATGGTATGTACTTCTCTCTTTTGTATCCTGGGTCTAAAGGCATTTGTGACTTAGCTGCCACATCAAAACCCTGGCAAACATTTACCCATTAGTTCGACTCTTCTGCCGTATCTAAAGGACCATGTGGTAGGAGGAATATGTAATGTTAGACTGCATACCTCCGTATTTATCAGTGCATCTTTAATAGCTTGTACTAGCTTAAAGAACAATGAACTAGAAAGCCAGCAGGTTTTAGACGGGGACTACCCTGATGATTTTCTCCTTGCCGTTGTTTAGGGTAATATAATAGAAATGCAGAAAACAAATGATCTCTCTCCTTAAATAAAACAACCAACTGAAGATTTACAGCGGAGGAGAGACATAGCAATGCGTTTGAACAAAGAAATATAACTGCAGCATTTTATCTCTGGGAAACGCACCCAGGACTCTGAGTGCCGAAATGTGTTCAAAGCTGCCTTGGGGAAGTACGCGGGGAGATCATTTGTTCTGTATTCATCACCCGAAGAGAGACAGCTGTCAAACAAATCCTTATATCCCGTTTTGTTCTTGGCCTGTTAACTCTGATTCCACCTCCCAGATTTTGCCTGGTGAGGGCTGTAAATTCGACAAAACGGTGCAAAGCAATGCCAGCTTCAGAGGACTCCGGCATCGCCCAAAAGACCTTTCCTACTTCTATTACTTGTCGTGCAAGTAGCACCAGGAAGACCCCTACTCGCTCTGTTTTGCTGTTCATTTCAAACAAACAGCCTGAGCCAAGACAACCAGATGAGGATGACATCTGGCTATCGAACCTCTGCCAAGTCACTGCTGTTCTGTAGCTGGCAGGAAGATGATGTGCTGCAAATGCCAGGTTCTCGCTGAAATGTAAAGTGCATTCCCTGCATTTTCTTTGCTTCCTCTCCAGGCACAATCAGTTCGGTATTTGGTTTTACTAATGGCCAAATTCAACTCTCCTTTTCAGCTGCATAAATCCATTTCGTCGATGCTAGGAGGCTTACACCATGAGTGGAACTTGACTCGGAAGTCCAAGATGGTCTTGTATATTCTAAGCCTACTGACAAATTAACTTGTTGACTGTGAATCTCATTCAAACATCCAAGCCCCTCCTGTGGGGTATGTTTGTCATGAGGATTGCTAATCACATTTATGAAAGCAGTTTGTATCTAAACTCTTCCAGGAAGAAGTAGGCAGAGCTTGGGGCAGGTGGATAAGCTAAAGAAGCTCTGGAGGTCTCCTTCACTGCTATTTTTCTGTAAGCCGAAGGTGCACCTCTTTGATAAGAAATCACCATAGCTCGTGAAAGAAATCTGTTGCTAATTAAAGGTACGTGGAGTTAGAAGATAGCTCGCTAGGCCCCCTGTAGTACATTGCTTTCTATTGTGCTCAGAAGCAGTTTGATCACAGCTACACAGGGGAAGCTCATTCAGGGATGGTGCGTGAAGGAGCCGAAGCTGTAGGATTTGCCCTGTTTCCTTACGAAGGATTTTTGTTTTCACCCCTCCTCGCGTGCTGCGCAACTGCACAACTCTCAGCATTTCTGGCAGCTGGCAGAGGATATGAAAGAAATAACTATGCTGGTTTTGCAGCTGATGTTCTGGCCAAGTGCATTTTTTCCCCTCTTCTGGTAAAATAGTTTTGCTGCAGGCACAAGTAACCAAAATTGTAGAAGGAAAGTAATTGTATTAAATAAATATGCACAGAGCTTGGGCTGTAGAAGTGAACTTGCTTTGCAAAGGGCGCAGGTCATATCTCTGCTTTTCTAGTTAGCACCCAAAGTATGACTTCTTTGCCATGTATTTGCAGATTTCAGGAATATCATTGTGCTATCAGTCAGTGGGCTTGTAAGCAGAAGCCATCTGCTTTTGAGGGCACTCACACAAGAAGTGGATATTAATGCTTGAAGAATAACTCAAATCTTTTTAGGTTGTCTTTGGTGAACCAGCTTGCTATGAAAACTAAGTCCGATTTCCACAGTTCATACCAAAACCTTCACCAAAGAGTCCATAGATGGGTAGAGATTAGAGAAATTGGGTTAATTGTCTCTTATTTTGTCATGTGCAGCTGTGCTAGTAACTCACCAGCAGTTTCATCTTCCTAGGTAGTTTTTGTGGAGCTGATTTCAGAGTATGTTTAGATATGGCCCTAGCAGGGTGATGCAGTGAGTGACACTGGATTTAGGAGATCACCAGCTTTTGTTTGACCCCAGCTGTGCCCATTTCCCTTTAGTGCTTTATCAGTTTTGTCTGTTTTGGGACATGGGCTGACATGGGCTATCCTAAACTAGCGATAGGACAAGAGGAAATGGCCTCAAGTTGCGGCAGGGGAGGTTTAGATTGGATGTAAGGAAAAATGTCTTTACTGAAAGAGTGGTTAAACATTGGACCAGGCTGCCCAGGGAAGTGGTGGAGTCCCCATCCCTGGAGGTATTTAAAAGACGAGTAGATGAGGCACTTAGGGACATGGTTTAGTGGACATGGTGGTGTTGGGTTGATGGTTGGACTCGATGATCTTAGAGGTCTTTTCCAACCTCAATGATTCAATGATTCTATGATTCTATGATCCTTGAAGTTTTAATTCTGTTGCCTGGTGCACAAGTGTCACGGTGACATTCGTGGTGTCCTGGAGAGGCATCTTCTGGCCTTTAGATGCCACTCCAGTGGGACGGGGGTTCCCATCCGTCTTTTATCAGACCTGCCAACCTCCTGAGCATGTCTCTGGTACCCTGAGCTGCCTTGCATACAGAGTTCACTGCAATACAAATGAAGTGTACAGCTGGCAGCATTACCCTGCCTTCCGCTCTGCGATCAGTTGGTTTCAGCATCAAATAAGCAAAACCAAACCGATTTGTATGGAAATTCTCAGGATTGTACATGCTTATTCAAAAGGTGTTTTCATCTGCTGGCTCCAGTGTAGATCTCACATCCAGCAAATTCAAACCATTACGATTTTTTTTTTAACTTCACCAAAGGTTACCTCTGTCTATGTTATAGGAATAGGTTACAATATTTTGAATGGAAATCAAATTTCATCAAAGATTTGTCAAATACGGGGAGATCTTTGCATTGAAAGGTATGTACAGATACCATAACTAACTTGAATCACGTTCGATGCTATGTAACTGCTCAGTGTGAAATATCATTCTGAATATCTAACTGAATCTATGTATCTTTTGATTCTGTCCTTATCAATGATCATAATGCATCCTCCTGTAAAACAATCAGTTAACTTGTGGAACTATCATGGCAGCATGGTTTATGCATGTCTGCACAAAAAATAAATTGCTTGATATTATCCCAGTACTTGAGAGCAAAATTTTTTTCCTGAAAAGATAACAAATAGCTAATTCAGGTTTCCAAAAGCATGTGTACTATTAGCGTTAGTAAGAAGCTTAACCAAGCTGAAAGCAAATGGTAAACGATCCAGATATTAGACTTATTAAGCTTGTGTGTCTTCTACCACTTAAAAGCTTATAAAAACCCTAAAGATCTGGGTAAATGAGATTTTCTGGAAGGCAAGCTTTAAAGTTTACCTCCTTCTGTTTTTAAACAAGAAGGCGATGCCTCTATTTACATGCCGTTTCTGGAACTCAAACGGAGCGAGTACATCACTGCTGCAGTGTTTCATGGAACATCCTTTGTTTATTCACACTGTGCCACTTTTAAACTTCAGATGTAAACAACAAAGGCTTCTTTGTATTTCACACTATCTATCTTTGTATTACACACTATTTCACTCACTACCTTCTGAAGTCCAAAGCCAAAACACTGTGGAATTTTACCCTCCTCACACTTTCTTCTGCTTGTCGAATGCGTTCTTCCAGCCTTTTCTATTTATAGTAGCTGGAAAACTACTTATCTTCTGATTAAAACACGCTCTGTTCATTTTCTCTTGACTTTTCAGTCCTTGGTATGGGCTAAAATTGTATTCCCTGGTAACCATTTCAAATATAATTTTAGTAGTAATTATGCGTATATTCGATAACAGAAACAATTTGTCATCCTGAAGGATCCAAATTGCTTTGAAGTGGTCGACCTGTCTGTGATCTGTTACACAGATGAAAAATCCAGAAAATATTCCACCAAACTCAGTTGGTCAGACAGAAAGGTCAGAAAGACCCAGGCTGGAAATGCAGCAGCTGTCTGACAGCACACGTTTTAGCACAGAAGAGTACGGTTTCCATTGCAAACCAGCGTGAGAATTTTAGTGGGAAATCTCACAAAACGTTAGCTGCATCGATCCTTGAGATCTGCTGCTGAGAAGTCCCCCCTGCCTTTTTCACCGTGGGGAAGGACATCATTTTATGTTTCATTTGACATGCAGTGGGTCAGACTGTGCGTGGTGTCCGCATCAATGTCGTGCTGGATCCGTATCCTCTCTGCTTGCTGATGCCTGGGGGAGGTAGCCAGGCTCTTTGCTCCTCTTCTCCCATTCTGTGCTTATCTCTGTGGGATAAGTTTTAGACACTTTGCTGTGCTGTGTTGCATACAGTCCTGTCCTATATGTGTAGTATAAATGAAATCTTACTTTTCCAGAAAACCAGGGTAGCATGGTGTTGATTTTTTCCTTTCCCAGGCACAAGTAGCATCCTTTATCATCCCATCACCTTAAGCTGCATTTGAGCACAAGAGATATCTGATGAGCCCATCCATCAAGTACTGTGTTCAGTTTTGGACCCCTCACTACAAGAAGGACATTGAGGTGCTGGAGCGTGTCCAGAGAAGGGCAACGAGGCTGGTGAGGGGTCTGGAGAACAAGTCTGATGAGGAGCGGCTGAGGGAACTGGGGTTGTTTAGCCTGGAGAAGAGGAGGCTGAGGGGAGACCTCATCGCTCTCTACAACCACCTGAAAGGAGGTTGTAGCGAGGTGGGGGTCGGTCTCTTCTCCCAAGGAACAAGTGATAGGACGAGAGGAAACGGCCTCAAGTTGTGCCAGGGGAGGTTTAGATTGGATATTAGGGGAAAAATTCTTCACTGAAAGGGCTGTCAAGCATTGGACCAGGCTGCCCAGGGAAGTGGTGGAGTCCCCATCCCTGGAGGTATTTAAAAGACGTGTAGATGTGGCGCTTAGGGACATGGTTTAGTGGTGGACTTGGCAGTGCTGGGTTAACGGTTGGACTTGATGATCTTAAAGGTCTTTTCCAACCTAAACAATTCTGTGATTCTATGATTCTGTTTGGGTAGAACATTTAATGTATAGCATAACAAATAATCTTTCTGTAAATTGCTAGGAGTCTTAGGTCCATGTTAGATCCCTCTGAGATCTGTCCTTATATAAGAAAACAGCAATATAGACTGAAAATACTTTAATTGTGACAGCAGCTAGTTTAGTAGGTGAGTCTAGTGGTAGGCATTCAAGGTGAGTCGTTCTCCACTCTAGAATATCCTCCTGTGGCTGCGTGAAAGCTTGGTTGAATGAACAGTATCGACAAAATCCCCTTGACCTCAGCACGGCCAGAGTTTCCCTTGTGTTCTCAGCCGACCTAGGAGCTGTGAGGCATACTGTATGATAACTTTCTTCATATTTGTGTTAACTGTGGCAACTGGAGCCTGCAGCTTGGGTCAGGCTCCTCGTTGTGCCAAGTGGTGCACATATGGCCATTGTAAGAAACAGCATGCGCTCTGCAGAGCTGGAATAAAAAAAGATGAGTACCATTAGTGCCATTTTAAAGAATGAGAAACAGAAGCAGAAAGAGAGGTTGGGAGCACTTGGTTTGCTGAAAGTCACCAGGACAGTCAGAGGCGAGCCGGATGATAGTCCTGCTTCTCCAGAAAGTAGGCTCAGGGCTTTCACCACAAACAACTCCATCTTCTAAAGAGGGTGCACAGCACGATGCAAATCATCTCCCAGCTTTTTTGGGATGAGATGGTTTAGCATTATACACTAATAGTCATGAGAGGCTGAATAGAAACAGAGCTTGTTATTAGAGGGAAAATAAGTGGCGGAGATGACAGGTTGCCCAACAATTTCCATTATAAGGATCTTCTTTCAGGTATTCCAGTATAGCAAGTTTTATGATTTCACAAGTAAATATTTGTGCTTGGTCTCTGTCTGAAAGTTTTCCCTCCGATCACAACAGAAGCAATTTTTGGATTTTTCAGGATGAGTTTAGGAAAAGATAAATTGTTTATTCCTCTTAAAAATTCATATGTTTTCCTGAGAAACTGTCATGCTTATATATTGTGGAAGAAACACTTGATATAAATCCAGCGTTGACTCCAGTGAGAAAAATAAAATGATGGCAATGTAGCAGTAGAGCTGAACAGAGCCCTCTACCATAAATATGTGAAATGAGCATTTTTACTTCTACGTTGCAACTCCCCTGAATGAAAAATAATTGCAGTGGCTTCCATTTATTGCAAAGGATACATGCACACGGGAATACCTTGCATCGCACGGGCTAGTCTGCACTTCGCAACAAAGCATGGTTCAGAGATAACTGAGCTAATGGAAGTGGTAAAGTCTTGTCAACACAATATTTGTACGTGGAGTGTTTTCTTCTGCTCATAGACAGCATGGATTTGCCTTATCTTACCATTACACTGCTTTTGGACCCAAGTTAGCTTCTCAGGATCATTCAGGACTGCACCGTGTGGAGATACCAGTTCTGGTCTGCAACGGCTTGGAAGATTCTGCACTGTTTGTTATCGGTGGCCTCATCTCAGTTGGGACCTGGCCATTTTTCATTTGAGGAATAGGAGAGTAATGGATGAGTGATTAGGGAAGAACAGTCTGCTGTCTCAAACCGCGATTTTAGCTTTAGATCACAGAAAGTCAGAACAGGGCATGTCTTTTCTTAGCCATCATAAATTATCCATGCAGGATGTACAGTAAAAGGCTGTTTGGCTGCGTTAAAATTGGCTAGACAAACAGAATTTCCATCTCTCTCAATGGCTCCTTCAACACCTAATTAGTTCCCAGATGCTAGTTGAGCAAGATGTCTTTTATCTTTGCTAATGTTATCTTCCTATACTTCCTAAATGCCCCCCGGTGCCATTCTTCACTTTCATCTTTCTTCCCTCAAGAGAAGGCAGGATGGGTGTTCAGGAAGCTCTATTCTGAAGGTCAAGCTTGTAAAGACTGTGGGTCAAGCTGATCCTGTTATACCAGTCAGTATCTGGAGCAAAAGCTTTAAAACCAGAATTAGACTGATATGATGGAGAGCGGGATACAACTTCCTTTCTATGCACGTTCATAGGATCAGTATCCATCAGGAAAAAAATAGAATTGCAGATTTTATTTCGCTGTCAGTTCTGTTTAATACGATTTAGGACAAATTCAATGTTCATCTTTTCCCATTGCTAGAAGGCGCAAAGAAGTCTGTCTGTATAAATCTGCCATTTCAGCTGGCATAGCTGATTGTTGTGGGCAATGAGGAAGTACACTCAGATGTAAAATAGTACGAAATATCAGACTAACTGCACTCCTGATCCTTCCTAGACCCTCTGAGCATAACCACTTGGAGCCTCAGATATGTTAATAGCCAGGCTATCGGCCAACTGTGATTTACCTTGGCAGGTCTGATTTATATCCAAGCCTAGCAATTCTTTCCCCTCTGGCAGGAATGAGTGACCAAACAGCCTCTTTCGAGCTAAGTATTTAAGAGAAAAGCATTTCTGAGAAAGCAGATCTTCAAACCAACGGAACAGACTACAGATATACATGCAGCTTTCCCCTAAGGCTCATGAAGCCGTGTCTCTAGCTGGGTTCAGTTTACTCGATTCAGATGACGTCCTCTGTTGAGTGTGGGGGTTTTGTCAATAAGCAAAAGCTCTGACAAAGTCAGTTTTGCAGTTTTATAGATGAGAATCAAGATTCTTCAGCTTAGCACGTTGCACCACCATTTTTTAAGTTTCTATTGTGTTTCCTTCTTATCTGCATATTCCCTGTGCTGCACTGGAAGAATACACTGGTATCAACAATTCCAGCAGGCCCACGTAACGGCATTTCTCCTCTTTGACCAGGCTATGTGTAGTCCCTATAGGATGTTTATGTCTTCAGATTTATAATGTAGTCACATAGCAGCTTGTTTTCTATCGCAGCAAAGACCAAAGCAAGTTGTAAAGCCAATGAGTTTCACCGTTTCTGCTCTGAGATCCATATGCCCACACTATGAAGGGTGCAGAATTTATACCAACATAATTCCATCATTCCCGGTTCCAATCCTGCCTGATTTGCGAGAGGCATGCTGCAAAGTGAGTTCTGAGACAAGATAGCTTCCCTGCAAGGATATTAATAATACTTAGAAATTATCTAGCACTCCAAAACCCTGTGCAAGCATTAGCTAATTATGTAGCACTCCAAAGCCCTGTGCAAAACATTAGCTAATCAATTCTTGCAGCACCTATCAAATATATCAATATCATTCAGTCCATTGTGCAGAGAGGTAAATGGAATGCAGATATCTGGTCCC